ATGCGCAACAGGCGACCACAACCACGACAAGAAATGCAGCCAGTGCCAGACTGTTGGCAGCGCTTCGGCGTGTCAGCACTGTCGACAGGCGAGTCACGTGACAAACTAGCGTCCTTGACACAGTCCCTGCGTAGGATTTGACGTTTGCAAAGCGGTGATTATGCACCTGAAGATGGCTGTCTTCTGGGTTGTTGTAGTCTGGTAGAAGTTTACCGACGTTTCAGAAGACAGCCATCTTTGTTACTTGCGAATTTGCTTTCCTACTCGAAGGAATGTTACAGGGCTAATGGTTAGTGTTTTAGTCTGGAATTCACAAAGTCCCTATTTTTTGATCCGAGGCGTCTCAATTAAAATGAAAATAAAGTTTAGTATGACACTAGAATTATTCCTTACTGTCCGCTCACATCATCATGCATTGTTGCCAGCTTCTATTAGTCTTATCAACAATGACGTAGTTCCCAGTCTTTAATCATTGGTGTCGTTAGTAATGTGCGTTATATAAGTATTCACGTGCGTACGCACATATGTATGCAGTAACTATTTTAATCAGTCTTGAGTAAATATACTATTAACAATACTATACTCCACTATATGATATCAAACTATGCTATTGACATGTTAGAAATGAAATGAGTGTCATCACTCAGAAAGTAGGCTTTAATAGATTCGTGCTGATACGAACTTCTTTGTCTTGGAACTCACTCTCCATGTTTTACCATGAGCACTTCCTGTATGTTCGATTAGTGTTAACTGGCCTTGTGTATTCCTTCATTTATCTGTTTTGTCATGTACAAACAATTTCCTATTATCTCAGGTAACGAGATAGAGTCCTATCGACAAAGGAACAACCTAACCTAACATTTACATCAATCAGACAATCATTAAAGCACACATTCCATTGCGCAATGCACTGTTTCCTGGGCACAGCAATGCTTTTCTGGTTATCTTTATAACTAACAAAAATACTAATTGACTTCTGTTTACAGGCATTCTGTATCATCTGCTGGCCAAGTCACATCAAAGAACTGAAGTCGCAGCTGCCAAACCTTCTGGACCAGTTACAAGGTGCCCAGGAAAGGCTAGATCATCACATACAGGATTTCAGGGTGTGTTCTTTATTACAAAATGCAGCCACTCTTGACGAGACAATTTATACCAGACCACAGCACACATTTAGCTTTTTGTACTTTGTAAACCATTACTTCTTTGAAAACATTTGTTAATTATTTTTATGCGGGACTCTCTTAGGGACAGCCCTCTCCAGGGAGTAGTTGCCCCTGCCCTTAGTGAGCTCCAGGTCACACTGTCCTGGTGGGTAGCACCTGGTTAGGGCCCCTTCCCCAGAGCTACATGGGGGGACTAGATGGGAGTAGTAGTCACGGTGAAGATAACCCAACTAAAAGTAAAAAGTAAATCTGTCTCACTATGCGCCATGTAGGCGCTTGGGGGGAGAGGTAATATAGCTCCTACTCATTCTTGACCTCGGCACTTGATGCCGTTGGACAGGAGGCTGGGTGGGACCCAGAACCGGTCTGGACGCAGAGGCTAGAGTAAAAATCCTCTGCCCCCTCTGGGATCGAACCCTGGTCATCCAGCCCGTAGCCAGTCACTATACTCTATGTACTCTGAATAATGCTAGTGTTGTTCCCATCTCAGAAAATCTAACAGTTGTTGTGGTTGAAACAGAATTTTAGAAAAATGTCAGCTCGTGTGTCTCTATATTAATCACGGAACACCACAAAGTTCATTAACATGGTTTGACCGAGCATACATATGTACAGGACTGTGATTATTCACAATATTCTGTAATGGCATTGAATTAAACTGTTTTACTTTATAAATTATTCATGTAAAACAGAGGTAAAAGTTTGTGTTATTTTTCTCAGGATGTCTGCAAAAGACTGAAAGAACACATTAATGTCGCCGTGGAGGTGAAGATACAAACTTTGAGAGTTGAGCAGGAGAAGATGAACGTCAAAGCCAACGAACTGCTGAATCAAGGAGAGGAGTCTGTGAAGACTTTGCTGAAGAGGATAAGAGACGTCGAGGAAACAGTTTCCAAAGGTCCAGACTTCGATGCCATCTCCGAAAACAGGAAGAAGGTTGTGAAATTAGAATATAAGAATGTAGCCCAGTAAAGTTTGAGGTTGCGCATTAGAGAGACATCTTATTGCACAATTCATAGCGTATACTTATATCGCTATTACAGTCCGTTAAACCAAGTCACAGTTAATACTGACTTTTTTGTATCGTGCTTTGGTCATTTCACTGTTAAATCATTCCGAGGATTTTATTACCAAAGTTACCAGAAAATGGTCTCACTTGAAGTTACAATTATGTACTTTTGAGAAACAAATTTATACTTATTTAACTGCTGTATTAGAATTCTCTTCTCATCACTCTGATGCATTCTACATGTCCTCCATCTCATTTATCAACCTTGATTTGAGCATTGCAAAGAAATCCATAATTTTCCCTGTTCTTCTGTATGGTCACGTAAGACCTTACAAATTGAACGTGTTTGAGAAGGGGGTACGCACAGATGAATAATGCATGAGATTTTGGTCAGAAAACATGAATGGAGAACACCACTTCGAAAGACCTGGGTGTATATAGTGGATAATATTAAAATGGACAACAAATAATGAAGGAGGGTGTCGACTGGACTCATTTGGCAGACTCCTGTAAACACAGTAATGAAATGCAAGAAATTAACTTCTGATGAAGGGCTCAGCTCCACAGAAAGAATTACAATGAGTTACTTAATAGGCCTAACACACATATTATTGTGATAGCCTATATAATATCACTGAGTAATAATATTTTTATTTCTTAAACTGATCTTTAACCAGTACGACCTGATGTTACAAGAACACATTCAGTTTTGCGTGCTTGCATCACTGACAGATCCAGATGCCTCAAAATCTGATTTTCCAGACAACTGTGCCTAAAGATTTTCAGGAGAACAAACAAGCATCAGCAACAGACTTACGATACAAAATTAAATTCACGTGACTTGGTTTGTATCAGATCTGTCACAGGTTCCGTTAAAATCCATCGGGAACGGTGCTGTCACAAGAACAGACACGTCACAGATGAAAAGAGTTATACGCATTTATTTTTCTTATGTCCTGGAATGTAAATAATAAATAGAGAGAATAATGATAATGAATTGTCGTGGCAGGTGGCACTGTTTCTGCAGCTGCACCGTAACACGTCATCGCTGCTAGAGGAAGTGTCCAACTGGGGCGAAGCACGCCCCACTTTCGACGCAGACAACTTCAGAATTGACATAGCAGAGGAAAGCAGAGCTGGAAGTGAGGTCGACAATGTGTTCGATGATGATCCAGTGTTCAATACCACACAGGCTGCTCAGGTCAATTCACCAGACAGCTTGTGCGAGTACTACAGGTAGAAACAAAACATTCTACCACCTTAATTTCTTTCAAATGAACCATCCCATTCCGTTAATCTAGTAATAACTCCAAAGTTATAATTATACAATCTGTCAATCAATTCTGTTATTGACGGGCTTGAGATTCCCATGAGGTTCAAACCATGAGGTAAAATTTCAAAAGTTTACGTCACCTATCTGAAGACTAATTAATGCATAAATGTGCTTAGACAGAATTTATGGGTGGGTTTATAGTCTGTGTTAACACAAAATTTACCATGCCTAGCTCACCGGTTCATTAGTTACCACCATAAAAAGGAACGTAAGTATAAAATTCACATCGCTGTCATGTTATCTGACATTCTATGAAATTTACCACAACAAAAGTACCAAATCAGAAGTAAGTTCACCTATCACAGTGTATACAAAAGAATAGATCAGTCAAATCTTACATGGTATTAGGTAATTAATATTTATAGATGATGGGATCTATCATAACTTTAACAGTTACAATTTTTATTGTGGGAAGAATAACTGTGATCCATAATTCAGGGCCCACTGTTTCACGCCTCGGATTAACCTCGGTCGCTCAGTATTGCAGCGGCCAGCAGGAGTAGGAGTAGCCCCTTGGAACAATGGAGTGAACATGTACATAGCGGGGACAGACGGGCGGCAGGTTCTGGTCATAGATCGCAGCAGAATGAAGCTGGTGCACCAGTTGAGTGCCCCCAACTTGCTCTACCCACACGGACTTGCCTTCTCAAAGCCTCTCCGTGAAGTATACGTTACAGGTACTGTCTTCACACAGATTCCCTTCTGTCTTGGAACCTGAGGGTCAATCACCACAAAGTTCTTCCATTAGACACTATGTATTGTATATAGTTCAAATTTTCACTGATTCCTAGCATTATACCCCTTGAAGCCATCACTTTTTTTACCCCCTGAGAGTTATACATATGCACGTGGTTTCGACCTTATGACCTGTACTGTCGAGGGGATATGGAGGAAAACTCCTGCTAGTCCAACATAATGGCAAAAGTGCTATGTTAAAAGATACGAGCCAATGAAAGAATTCGTACTTGGCAGTTGGCGTATAAATGAAAAGATAAATTAAAAACTTCCAAAATCAGTGTGAAAAGTTGTGATTTCGCGATATACCAAATAAATGTTTACATAAAGAGAAGAATTATGCCGTGTTCTTTCCACTGCGAGATGATTACATCAAGCCTCCTGCATGTTCATTATACACGTGTATGCTTTCTTACTGCAGACAAGTGGAACCACTGTGTACACGTGTTCAGTGCTGAAGGGACTTACTTGCGCCAGTTGGGAAAGAAGGGCCATGCTGAAGGCCACTTCCAGTCCCCCGAAGGAATTACGTCTGGGCCTGGACCTGATGGAAATGATGATGAAACGATGCTGTATGTGTGTGACACAGGGAATGACAGGGTTCAGGCAAGTACGATGCCCCTGTTCACGTTCACATATCCGATTTATTTGAAATGGCTCAACTTAATTCATTTTCACAACTGTATATAAACTAAAACAATCTAAACTCCTGAAGTGACATTCCTTCCACTACAGAAGCAACATTTGTGTCAGCCGGGGTAGCTCAGTCAATATAGTGACTGGTTCTGGGCTGGGGGGATTGGGGTTCAATCCCTGACACAGCCAGAGGATTTGCCTTTGCGCCCAAACTAGCTCTGGGGCCCACCCAGCCTCCTGTCCAGTGGGTATTGCGATCCCAGGACAGGGTGTGACGCTGACCACTCACCTCCATCTAGTGCCGAGGTCAAGAATGAGTAGGAGCTATTATCAACTCTCCCCTCAAGCGACTACATGGCGTATATTGGGATGGCTTTATTTTTTACAGAAGCAACATTTATTAGTTTAAAAAGTGAGGTATTTAAATTAATTTGTGCATAGTAAGAAAGTTTCAAAAGGAATCCCACTTAATATCATTCGACATAAGTTGTGCGCTAGTTTGAACAGTCCAATTTCAAAAACACATATTACTAAACACAAACAATAAACAAATATGTTTTAGATTTTACATTTTCACAGTAGTGAAACTGTGAACTGTGGTCTTCCGGGCTGTGAAACCACACAGTCTGTTCAGTGGTTACCAGTGTTTCAGAAGGATACACAGCCTCCATCTTTAGTGTAGGAGTTCTACCTTGAAGATCTAACAATCCAAAACATAAATGTGTTCATTGCATCACACAGTCAATTGTACAAGTTTAGTGAAGTCCCCATTTCAAATATTTTCTGTCAACTATCGTCTTGAAAACATTAAGATACATGCAGAAAATCTATGTAACAGAATATATTAATACCATTTCAAATTTATCATGTGCAAATACTTTTTCAGATCATTCACCCCCTTGATGGGAGCGTAATTCGCATTTTGGGGATTCTGGATCCATTACCAGGACACAAGTTTAAGCGCACTGAGTTTAATCAACCGACAGGAATTGCTATTTCCCAGGACAGAGTCGTGGTTGTTGATTTTGGAAATAAACGAATTAAGGTGAGATAAAATTTGCTTTTACTATGTAAGCTGCATGATATGAAACATCCTGAGACTGAACCGTCCTCTTGTTTTAGCAAGTCTCGGCGTAAATTAATTTTTATTTCTAGTGCTAATTCAGATTTAACGCAGTAAGCCTACTCCGTAACCAGGTCCTCTTCGGTCGCCATATACCAGAGCAAGAAACGGGAGCACCTCAGCTATTCATATATGTACGACAAGAATGTTTCTGACATTACTAGGAGTCATATACTGTATAACACTCTCATTGAGTTTGTATACCCTAAAAAGCTAGTTAGGCTAATTGAAATGTGGTGAGGTCGTTGCAGGTAAACATTCATCATATTTGGAATGGTCAGAATGAATCACAAGTCTTATCACCGTTGCTTTTCACTCCCCATTAGCTTTGGACGCCCCCATAATGGACAGAAAAGGTGGACAGCGTGTGATAACAAGCATCTAATTATATCCTCTACATCCTCATGTATGTTAGTGGAACACTGCAGAAAATTATCCTTCACGTGTATTTTACTATAATATGGTTCCTGTTATGCCTTGTTATGGATCACGTGTACATACCTGTGCACATATTTAGCTGTTTCATGTAATGGTACTACAATTTATGTGCTCTTTCTAGTGTTAAATTACATTGACTCTATTTTTATCTGGATATTTATAAATTATGCCTCTTTAGAGAAAAAACTTATTTTACTCAGATCTTACGTCTCCTACAAATTCAAAATAATTGTTTCACCTCTCGCTGCATTTTAATTGTAGGCACATGTGTCCATATATTTAATGTATAAATAAACAAATAGGCATAATTGAGGGCCTACAAACGCAGAACCAGCAAAGTCCAAGAACATCAGGACGGAATGAACCTAAATAAAGTAAATCAGCTACAGGTCTATGCTGCTAATTTTAACTTACTA